CGACCAGCGCTCTTGCTTCCCTCCTAGATCCTTGAAGTGTCCATTTTTCCTTCTTTTTTTTTTTTTTAAGAATTATTTTGTTGTATTTATTTATTGATTTTTAGCAGTTACAATTTTTCACTGCACTCAACCTGTCTGCTGAGCTCTTGCAAACTGACTAAGCTTCAGCTGAAAGGACCCCCATAGGCGTAAAGGCTGCACCAGATGTGGTAGGAGCCACCGAGGAGAGGCAGAAACGCGTCCTGTGATACGTAGGACCAGTCACTGAGCGCGGAACAGGTCCGGTGTCGAGGCTCATGAACTGGACTACAGACAGCTGTGCAGAGCTCAGACACTGCCCCAGCAACCCCGTGTCCTTGACCGGGCACCCATTCCAGCTGCTCAGCTTCCCACCGGCATCGAGACCTCAGTGGGGGCCAGCAGGTGGTATGGTGGTTAAGGTGCTGGATCTCACACAGCCACATCCGAGACTCAAGGCCCAGACCCAGTAGCTTGAAAAACATGCTGGGAGCGGGGGAGGGCAGCAGGTGGCATAGTGGTTAAGGCGCTGGATTCCCACATGGCCAAGCATAATTCTAGTCCCAGACCCGGTGGCTTGAAACTCACGCTGAGGGTGTGCACATGCATGCCTAAAATCCCGAGAGGGGAATGGAGGAGAAGGGATTGTGGTGTGGCCATCCCCCAGGGAATGCTTTCTCGCTTTCCCTCTCTGTCTCTCTCTCTCTGGTGAGCACACATGCCCTATAGCAGAACACTTTTAAAAAAACAATGGTCCCCGGCAAATGCAAGGTCCAAATGACAGGGCCACGGTGGTGCACCCCCACCCCCAATCAGCGATAAATCCCAGTGGGTGAGCTCTGGGGCTGCGGGGGAGGCTTCCTGGGACAGGGAACTGGAGGCCGCCAGCGGAACTGGAAGAGCAGAACAGGAAGTCCCGATTAGAACTGTTACAGTGGATGGCTGAGTCCCAGTGTAGGGGGTGGGGGGACGACTTTGCTAACCAGGCCATGGCCTCCGACCCTCCCAGGGGCCCTGGAGGGGGGCATCTCCATGCCTCGTGTAGATGAGGACGGTGAGGCGCAGAGAAGCGGCGACACAGAGCTTCTAGCTAATAAACCAGCAGGCGGGGCGATGGTTGGCGGGCGGTGAGACGCTGCAGCAGAGGTATCGATCCGATCCGGGAAGGAAGGCCCTCCCCAGCCCGGCACTCTGCGGCCCGTCCTCACTCGGATCTCTGTACCCTCTTCTCCCTAACGCGCCTCCCCGGGCCAGCCCCAGATCCGAACAGAGGTGCCCGGTTCCCCCACAATCCCCACCAGCTCCCCCAGCGCGCCCAGTGAATCGGGGAAGGGAAATCCTTCTGTTACTTACTACGCACCTTCCAGATAAATCTGCCGGGAGCTCTCCCCACCCCCGTTCCAAAGCAAGTGGCTACGGGGGTGGGGGAGCCCCCAGCTCCGGCCCCCAGCAGAACCCTCCGGGCTAATACAAGGGCTCCGACCATGGGAAGAGGGACTAGGGGCAGAGAAACTGAGGCAGGGCCTGGAGCACAGGCCTTCCCAGGGGCTCGTTCTCCGTCTCCCCCTTAATCCGCGCGGCATCTGCGCAACGGGATGGCTGGGGACCCGCAGGGTTGGGGAGGAGGCCCATGGCGCTCGGAGGGCCTCGCCCCTACGGCCTGGCAGGGCAGCGAGGGGCCGGGAGGTCTCGGAGGCCCTGCACACCCGCAGC